TTCCTGATGAACCAAAATGTCCTGTAGCAGCCAAGGTCAAATACACCGAGCGCACACGGACCTACACAGTAAATGCATCAAGTGTTCAACTGTGCATTCTGTCCTCTCGTTTCCTCCACAGTCCACTGGAGGGTATGTTCCCATCTTGGGGAGCTGCAAGGCAGACGCTCCGAATGCGTCTCACATAAAAATGGTGGCTTGATACATCACATTAACATCTTAATATAACACAGGCAGCTCTGTTTGAATCTGGAACGAGACTGTTTGTATTAGTAATCACGTCTGAGAGTAAATTCACTCCCCCTATCGAGAAGTTATTGGCAGCATTTACGCAATGAGGAAATGGTTTCTAACTTACAGTAATGGAGTTGTAAACAAATATAAACATTGTTTTAAATGTTTGATGATGTGTTTGTTCTTCGCTGTGAGGCGTTCATAACAGGCTAATAAATAATTAATAAGTGTTTAATAAAAATTGACCAACTTTTGATCACATAAACCGTTTTATACTTGCGTTTGAGAGGTTGTGAAACGTTTAATAAACAAATGTAGATTATTGGAAGTCAAGATATAGATATAAATTCATTGAAAAGATTTATTTTAAACTACTAATAAATACTCAAGTGTGTTTACCAGACATTGATAAGTATTAACCGAGGGAATGTACTCACATGAATAACAAACATAAAGATTCATGCTCATAAATAAGAAAAAACACATATAGTATACATTTCATGTGTGGTTGGACAGTATTATAACAGTATTACATTGGGTCATAGAGTGTTTATTGACTGTTTGTAAACCGGTTTGAAAATGTATTTGAAACTGAACCTGTATTAAGAATATGTCTCGGAAAAGCATCTCATCACTGGTAATGAATTTACTCTTTCGCCATTTAGCTGCAAAAAGGCAAAGTAAATAATGTCTTAGGTGACATTGCACGTATACTTGCTGAACTGCTGCTTGTTGATTAGTCTGTGAGAAGAGGAAACTGAGTTGCTTAGGCGGTGCCATGTCCTACCAATCACTCTCCCCTTCTAAAGGGGCTCCAATGGCACCTGAGGGGGAATCTCATGGCTGTCATCCCAGAAAGCCTGCCGCACTGATGCCTGCTTACCATCTGCTCCCCATATGAGCAAAAACAGGGCAATTGTCTCAGAGAAGGCACCTCAATCACCATGTCATTGAACTAATGTACTTCAGCGTATTTTCGGCGGTTAGGTTTGAACAACGTCTTGGTCAAATATGCAATACTGGAAGTCCCCATTTGGCTGGTGGAGATAGCTGTGATGGATTGTGTGTGCGCACGCTGCGTAGGTCGAATGCGTTTGAAATGTGTACCACAGACCTGCCCCGCCTCGGCGGAACAGTGGGGCCGTGTCAGCGTTACACTTCCTGTAAATAACCCCTCCATGCCTTTGGTTTTATCATTCCCTGCAAATGATTCCAGGCCCCTCCAGAGTCGACAAGAAATAGCATTATTTTATGGCATGGAGAAGAAGAAAAAAAAGAGAGGAGATAAAAAGAGAGAAGCCGGGGAGAGAAAAAGGGAGATGGGGCTAAAAAAGGTCCTTCAGGGAACATGGTGTAAATGAAGTTCCAGGAATGACACAGGCGAGCAATGAGGCGTGGATGGAAAATATACGCTGCACATCATCGGATAGAGATGCCAGTGAAAATGGCTTCATTGAAGTGTCAGCCCTCATCCATCAATCAATCATCCGCGAGAAACAATAACGCCGCGGCGACGGGGCAGCTTTTATGGGGCTTACTCATGGGTATCGGAAACAGCACTTAAGTATAGTTCTGACACTGAGAGAAAAACAGAGGTGAGGTGCTCAGCTTATTCCACATGCAGGTAGAGCAGATGGGGGAGGAGGGCGGGGGGGCTAAGTATACAGTGCCTCTGTCAGAGGAGCTCTGGACAGAGGAGTCTTTATCTCAACAACAGCAGTGGATTCCATCTTTTGTAACGTCTTTGTGCCTCATTTGGACAATGGAACAAGAGCCTGCGTCGAGCCGCTGTGTGATCGTGCCTTGAGCTAAGCGTCAGCAATGCTAACATGCTGCCGTCGGGGCGGGCGCACCTCAGGGCGATGGGATTCTCGTCCCTCTGGGGGCCGTGCACGTCTGTTCAAAGTGTTGTGGCGATCCATCCAATGGGTCTTTGCGTCTGGACCAAAGTGCTGCAGCCGTGCTAGTAGTGTGGCTGGGTGAACATTTGTAGAATACTACAATCACATATGCCTTGACTTAAAAATGCTATCTTTGCATTTCGCATATTGTCTTTTGCTTTCCCTTCACTCCATTTTTCTCCATTCAACAGCAGGTTGTTTATACCTCTTTAAGCCTCTCTATAATAGACAACAATAGTCATTATTGCTTCTGCTTACAAACACCCTCCACAGACCATCGCAAGTAGAGCCACACATTCTTAAAGGCTCAAATACGTTTATCACTCTCCAGACATAAAAATAAACCAAAAAACGCTAAATGGTCCAACAGTCGCTTTTGCTGTACGTGAGCCTTTTGATTTCCCCAAACCGAGTCCCTTGATGGCTTCTCGGCAACATGAAACATGACACATCATCCATTATTCTGTACATGTGCCTTGCTATCTCAGCCCGCTCCATATGGCCCCCGTTGTCTCCAGACACCCAAATCCCTTTCCTTGGGCCAGGGGCTGTTTTTGTGGGAACCATTACATTGCTCCTCTTCCTCAGAGGAATAGGGTGACGATGATGAGCAATCACAGCCAGAGCAGACTTTCTGCCTCAAATTCTGACAGGATATTCAACAACTGACCGTATCCGCTTTGGCTGGCCCAATTGCTAATTCATGCAAGTTGACAATCTGGAGGCAACAATTATGAGTGATGAAAGGACTGAAAATAAGAGGAGTGAGCACTTTAGAGCGGGGAGGGGGGAGGGAAAAAAAGGAAGTTTACTTTACAGGGAGGGGGGGGGGGCGAGGTACGATATGTGATAGCATTACTGCTGGAGAAAAAGAGGAGGCGGTCACAGATGTATCCGCACCCCTCCTCTAAAACCAAATACTCTGAACAGATGAATGAATAGCAATGCAAGCATAAAATGCCATTTGTGTATTGAGTTGTGAACTGAAATAGCTGCTGCCTGAATCTTAAAATCTAATGTGATGATGATGATGAAGGAAACTTGATAAGGAGCTGCGAAGACCTCAGGTGTTTCATACCAAAGCATTTTGAGAGAAGAAAAACTAAATCCCACATGAATTTGCATGAAACAAGGGCGTTTTCTCAGGTTGATCTCTGTGCATAATTGGCACATGAGGCACGGTGCAGGGGAATAACAATTTAAGATGTAGGAAAATAAATACAGTTCTAATTAAATTGATGAAATCTGTTTTCTGTAACTTGTAGAGAAATAAATTGCTTGAGAGATGCGCAGTGTTTATAATCTATTTTTTTTTACATTACTGTGTCAAATCAATAATGATTCTGGTTCTCTTTAAAGCCAGCAATGATGCATTTAAATGGGAAAAAAGGGCCTGCGGTGCCATTCATCTGCACGGCATTAAAAAAAACGTAGGTGAAGGTCAGGCCACATTTCTGGCGGAGACGCACACATTCCGTATTGTTTCTTGAGCCCCCCCCCCCTCCGAATCACAGAGAAAACACAGAGAAAAAGAAGTAAACAGAGTGAAGAGTCTAAGTGTATCTTTGCATATTATAGGGACTTTTGACGTGAGAGCCCTGGCAGCATTTTGGACGCGGGGATGGAGAGTAGCGGCATGCATGTCATAAGCTGTTGTCGGCTCTGCGTTCTCTGCCATGCCTTTGCACCAAGTTCGCCACAGTGTGGGGGAACATGAGGGTGATGCTAAGTGAAATGCTCATTTTGCGTTGTGATTACCAAGGCCCATGGGCGATATGCACTAATGTGAGCTAATGCAATAGATTACACAGTGCAGGCCCAGGGGAACAGACAGCAAACAGATGTGGTCTACTCAAAGGGGGAGTAGGACGGGGGGGGGGGGGTTGGAAATCAAAGTTTAAAGTGTTCAACGGGCTGAAGATTGTCATGTGCATTTTGTCGTTGTGTACAGAACCGCCTTGATAGATTCTGTCAGTCTTTTCTGTTTATAGATATGAGGAAACTCAACAATAGTGTCGCTCCGGTCTCGTGGAGGACATGACCGGGCTTCTCTTAAGCTTTATTTTTTATGGGGTGAAGACTCGCCGAATCAAAAGGCAACGTGCGTTGCCTTCGACTACTGACAGGCAACACGTGTGTGACGTCGACAATCAGGCCGCGGCCTAAAGGTGCAGCATTCAGGTCAGAGTCATTCTCAAAAACAAAGAGATCAGCACAAGCCGCTGCTTTTTTTTTTGTGGTGCACTTTTTTGAAATGAAGGTATGGAGGCGAATAGATGCTCCTGTGGTTACAATAACTGTTCAATGATTCCATTCCAAACCTGGCCACGGTGATCTGACTTAGAACTCACTGTGCTGCATGTGTAGGTCTGCTGTTGAGCCTGAACTCAAGGTTTTCAAACCACAATCTGACATGGCTGTGCGTTAAAGTTTGTATGTGCTACCATCTGGTGGTCAGTGTGGGTTTTGGACGGGAAAAATGCAACATAAGCCATTTATTCTTTGCTCCAATGGAAGTTATTCCACACGTCTTCTGCAATTTTCCATTTATTCTTTGCGCAAAGATTTTTTTCTTGAATTGGGAGTGGGACTGATGCATGTGGACGATCTTTTCTTACATGTTGTGTAAAAACAATTGTAAATGCATCTTAATTAGATCCAGACTTGTCTTGTAATTTAAAATTGAAGGTGCCATTGCAGGTATAATACATACCTGTAGCTGGAATACTTGTATTAGGCTACAGGTATGTGTGACCTCTACACCCTAGAGGATGTGCCAATTGAAGACAGGTTTGTCAAATCAAGATATCATTATCAATTTCAGAACACTGCAGGAAGTGGTACATCAGTGAGTCACACAACACGCAGCTTTTCGCCTCACTTTATTATTGAAACGTGTCATACAAATCTCAAACAATATTTTCATTTTTTACATAACGTACACAAGTAATGTGAATACCAAACCAAAGTAAAAGAAAAAATAACTTAACCCAAAGCCTTTTCAAAAGTGGCAAAAACACAAAATGACAACAGACTAAATGGCTCATAAATGAGTTAACCTGAGACTTTGTTCACAGTGTGTAATCTATCAAGGCCTTAAATCAAGATCAGCTGCTCCTGTATCTTTATTTTATTTTTTTTTCAAACTACACAGCGATGCAACATCTGCAAAGACCACTTGGATCATCTGCTGCCACCTGAAACTAAATAACCCTTAAGACTGCATAGTAAGGCGAACCTCCTGAAAAGTGACTAAATGTGCAGCCTAAATAATACAGCATGACAATTTAATACCCAAAACGGAACGTGTCAAATTTGGTACATGTCACATGTCAGCTTATGGATTTGAGAGTCCACTAAAGCAGATGATTTCCAGAAGACAAAAAAAAAAAAGACCTGGAAAAGACTGGGTCGATAGAACCCAACCCGGCGGAGCAGTTAATTGTAGACCAGAGGTTGATATGGACTCTGCAGCAGTTGATCCGCACCTCATGGGTCTGCGTTCCATGTGGCGCCTGGCACCCAAAACACACACAAACACACACGTCCCTGCAGTTCTACCGCGGAACATCGGGCCGTAGTCGACGAGCGGCTCGGCTGGCGTGAGAGCTGCTGCAGCTCTGCAAAAATAATGGCGTCCAGGGGACAAAATGAGGTAGAGCACTTTGACGTACACGGGACTCGTTACCAGGGTTCGTTTGTAAACCTCTGGGCCTTTGAGTTATTAAACAGAAAAATCCCAAACCTTCAGTGCATTGGAGAAGGTGTGGGGGGTGAATAGTGCTTAATTACTGCCTGGACATAAACGGTAAGTGAATGAAGCAGCAATTTCTTAGCAAGTTTTTACTTTATACAATCTATGTACCGAAAGCTTTCAGGTACATTTATGTTGTCCCACGTGCAAGTTTACCGCTATGTCACAGACACTTACAGATATCTGAACATTAGTGTGGGTCAAATATGGATCAAGCAACAGTTCTGAATGCAAACAAATGTCACAGTGCACACCAGTGCAATACCTTTTCCGAAAGAGAGATGCTCGGCACTTTTTCATTCCAAAAATAAGAAAAATGTACAATGAAGGCCTCATCCATGAAATGTCTATGCAACGCAATTTCCCTCTATTGAAAAAAATTATAAATTAGAGGAACATAGACACTTTGAGCGTGAAACATCTCTTAATCTTCAACAAATTCTCCAAGTTCTCCAGAATAAGGGAGCAGCAGCAGGATCTAGAGAGAAGTAAAATATACCTTTTATATTTTCTAATTAGGACCTGATTGATTTATATCAAGTACCAGGTAAACTATTCAGGGTTTGAAAATAAAAAATAAAAAAACTAAAGAAGCTCTAAATTGCATATAAAATATGTTTCAACCTTTATGTAGTTTTGTCAGTGGTCCCGTGGCGTTGATTAGGATAAGGGCCCGACGGGTCTCTCCTCTGAAGGCTGGGCAGGGGGGGTAAGTGTTGGTACAGCAATGTTCTGCCCCCTGAGGAAACACCCGTCATGTTAACCCTACAAACGGACGGGCTGTGAAGACATAAAATGAGCAAAGCAGCTCCACTAACACATACCTGCTCTCGGATTGGCCAGGCCTCCGTGACCCGGGTTGGCCGGCGAGCCGTGATAGAGAGACGCCAGGTCGCTGGGGGTGTAGGAGCGCAGGAGGTTCATCATGCCCCACTCAGAGTCCAAGCCTCCCCCGATGGCCGCCGACGTCGTCTTCAGAGCATCCAGGGCGTCGGCAACGGTGGAGGCGCCCGGCATTTGTGACGGCGCTTTCTGGCTCCTCCCCGAGAGGAGCAGCCTGTTGGACACGTTGCCCGCCGGCCCCCTGAAGCCGGGCTTCTCGCCGCCGTCCGCTTCCCGGCCTTTGGGCGCCGCGTACTTCAGCCTCTTGCTGGAAGGCTCCCCGAAATCGATCTGGGGGAGGCTCCCGAACCGGCTCGACAGGCACAGCCTGGCGGCGTCCGAGTGCCAAATGACGCTCCTCGCCGGGTAGCTCCTCTCGCCGATTCCCACTCGGTCTGGGGGCGGGGCCGACCGGTCGGCGGCGTACTTGCTCCCCGCCGTGGACCTCATCATGAGCTCCGTGTACCTGGAGGACTCCGGGCCGGGATGCGTGTGCTGGGTGTCGTCCGCGGCCCTCTGCGCGGGGGAGCGCTTCGGGGGGGGCGGGGCGTAAGCAGGCGTCTTCTCTTGGGGTTTTGCAGGTTGAGGGGGCGGCGACTGGGTGCGACGAGGGTGGCGCCGGTCAACCAGCGGAAGCGGGCCGACGTCTCTGCCTTCCAGAGCGGGGGGGCAGCCTGTGTGCGCTTCTCTTTCAGGCTGCCGAATCCGCTGCTTTTGCAGGCTCTGACTTGTCTTTATGCTGAGCTTCTTGTGCATGATCAGACCTCCGGGTACATGGTTTTATACGCACAAAGCGAACAGCCGAGTGGGATTAATGCGTTCTGGGTTCCGCACTGGCAGGAATGGAGATGGACACTTTTAAGGACAGATTTAACGGGCCCTCAGAGTTCTCGTATTTTATCTCCTCCCGTTCCACCTTCAGGTTAACGGGTTTGGGACACTTGACGGCTGCGTCAGTCACGGTGGAAGCAGACGCGGTGATTAATTTCTTATACTCGGCGCTCGTCTGTACGGGTGGCTTGCCGAGCTTGCTACCTTTGCTATCAAATCCGTCCTCCGGTGCTCCGTTGGCGGACGATCTGGCGCCGGGAACCCAGAGTTTGGATCTATTTGGGGCAGGATTTTCATTGTCATTTGCATGTTTTCTATCGTCGGGAGACGGCACTGAAGGCACAGGTCTGCTGGGAATGTCTACGGAAGGCTTGTCCTTGTGACGGCGATCCAGGTGGTATTTGAGTGAAGTCTTCTGGGCCGCGGCGTAGTCGCAGTAAGCACACTTGAACGGTTTCTCACCTGAAAAGAGCAAACGGTGCAGTTAGGTGCATGTTTTAAACATTAGCCACAGAACGAGGCTCGCAGAGTACGGTACGTAATAATTGTGGGTGTGTGTGTGTGTGTGACATACCTGTGTGAGTCCTCAGATGAACCGTGAGGTAATAGCTTGATCGGAATGATTTGCCACAGTAACTGCAGGCTTTCGATCGCACCTTCGATCGGTCGAACCCGTCTTCACCTTTTGAAAGACGAATACGTAAATGAACACACAGAAAGGAATAAGACTCACACAAGTCACAAGCGGTGTTATTGTCCCACCCATCAGCAGAGGGAGCACTTGGTTTTCCAGCTCCTACAGCACAATGAAGACAGTTACCTGGAGCCATGTTGTCGTTGAGCGCGGCCTCCTCCAGGCCCTCCTCACAGCCCTCCTCCGCGTGCTCAACGGAGCCCGCTCTGGACGACTTCCCGTCGGCGGATAAAGTCGGGCTCTCCTCGCCGCCCCTCTCCCGCTTGTGGACCCTGGAGTGGAGGACCAACTGGTGGTAGGTCCTGAAGGTCCTCTGGCAGTCCTCACAAGTCGTTGGCCTTTCTTTCACCTTGCTTTTTTGCATCAGAGACCGCCGCTGCGGGCCCGCGTTCTCCGCCGCGGCCGGCTGCTGAGGCCGGAGCTCCCTCCCGAGGACCCCTTTGGCAGCTTTGTCTCCCTGTCCCTCCGCCCAAATTTGACTCAACTCCTCCTTGTCGGAGCCGCATTCTTCGTTGTCCGTGCTGGCCTCCTGGCCGATGTCTTTGATGTTGTTCGGGCCGACCGCCACCTTGCCCTTTGTGGCGAGTTGCCACGCCTGGTAGGTGTTGAAGGGATCCAGCTGGGCAATCCACTTGGATGACCTCTCATCTCGCAAACCACTTCCCGGAGATCGAGGCCTCAGGTTTAGACCGTGAAGGAAAGTTTCCTGCTTGGCGAGGGATTCGGCGGGCGCGTCCATTTTCTTCTCGTCCGCGTCTTTATCTCGGCCGGGCTCCGACTCTCGATTGTGCACTTTGCTGTGCTCCGCCAGGCTGCCGTGGTCGGGGAAGAAAAAGCCACACACCATGCACATTTTGTAAACAGTGACAACGGGTTCCGAGGAGACGTCCTGGGCGACGCCGTTGACGGTGCCCGGGGCGTCCAGGTCCTGCTGAGCTTTGCTCTTGGCCCCGGGCCTGACGTGCATCTTCATGTGGTTCTTGAGGAACCACGGCTCTCTGAACCGCCGGCCGCAGACGTTGCAGCAGTAGGTGAAGTAGTCCTTGTGCTTCCTCATGTGGGTCTCCAGCTCGGCGGCATCGTGCGACAGCTGGCCGCACACGATACAGCAGTGGACCTCCTCTTTGTCAACGGGGAAGTTGCTCTTTTTAGGCCGGGCTCGCTCTCCGGGGATCCGGAACTCGGCTTCCACTCGCAGCACGGCCGGCTCGAAGAAAGTGGTCGGGTGCTGCGCCAACACGTGGGGGCCGAGCTCGTCCTGATGAGTGAAGGTCTGATCGCAGAACATGCACAAGAGCGGTGCGCTTCCTCCGGGTTGCAACACAGTCTTTTCTGAGTAAATGGCGTGTGGCGTCATGCTGCAGCCAGGCCCCGGGACGCTTGCATTGTTACTAGTGAGGATATCTTGGGCAAGTCCATCGGGGCTCTCCACAAACGGCGGCAGCGAGTGAGTCGGCATTGTCCTCTGGGAGGTGGAAACCACCACGAGGATCACTTGGTCCAGACTAGGAGCGTGAAAACAGCGAGAGGGGGAAAGTGTGTTTAAGCTTTGCCGAATGTGAAAACAGGATCAGGTAGCTGCTTCATAACTTGAGATCAAATCTGTTTAAACTTCCCCACACAGAAACAGGAAATGTATCTTTTTTAGCAATCAACTGCATAGAACTCACTCAACCACTCATTTCCTGTAGCGGGACATTAATAAAACAACAGAAGAGAATAAGCAATGTTTTTCTTAATCAAAAAGGCATTATTTTTGTTTAGTTTGTGGAGCAATCGACCACAGAATTTGGCAAACTTCATATTAACTTAATGGAGCTCATCTGAATGCTGTCATGTGTTTTGTTTGAAAAACAAAAGAATAATTTGTGAGCTACACTGTTTTTAAAGTGAACACTAATAGTTTAAATTTGACAACAATTTGTAGAAGTTTGAATAAAAGCATATTTAAATACCGCACCAATAAAACCACTTAAAAACAACAAGAACAACAACACCAACAACAACTTTAATCCTCAGCACCATCTTGTTCCACAGAAAGTCTCACCACAAACAAACCTTCAACAACAGCCAGAAACATGCTGGTCTACTATCTAACTTTACACATAACCTTTTGTTTTGTGACACTGTGCCTCCCCCTCCCCACCCCCCCTCCTCTTGTGTCCACAGTGTCCCCGTGGACAATCAAACTGTCTCACTCTCAGTCTGATTGGCACAAAGCTGGAGACGCTGGACCAGTTGGAGCAGATGAAGAAGAAGAAGAAGAAGAAAAGGGGAAGTTACACCCGTTGAAACAACGCGAGTCGCCGATGGGCATCGAGTCATTTTCAAGTGAAGCGCCTCTAATTTATCTTTATTATTTAATAATGCGCCCAATTTGAAGCGCTTATTGATGAACGTCTCCCGTGGACGTGGTGATTTAACGCAGGTGAGCCTGCGGGCTTTGTGTGAGGCACACGTTGTTATTCAAACAGCTCTCCGCAATTAACGTTGGTAGCGTTAAAGAGGGGGGGGGGGGGGGGGGGGGGCGCTAAAAATTAGGATTATTAGATTAACCGTTTAGTATTAAAGTGCACTCCCCCCCAAAGAGGCTTGGTTATTACATTTCTACCTGTGTATAATAAGCAGAGCACGAGGTGTTGATGGGGGGGGGGGGGGGGGGTTGTCTTCATTCACGTTTCACCGACGGATCCAAAACACGGCAGTTTTAATTTAACGCTACAACAACAACAAAAAACACGTTCCAACGACAACGTTCATTTAACAGGCAACACGGTTAGGATCAACTACCCCCCTTCTGCCCCCCCTCCCCTGATCAGTGCTGACGTTGCTGCTTATTGATTTGGTTTCAACGCCGGTTCGTAACACTCGACCCCCCCCCCCCCCTCGTCTCCGATTAAAGTAACGTAAACTCCCGACAAAAAAAAAACACGGTTCCGCCGGGACGCCCGAGCAGGTCAAACGCTTCCCGTCCGCCGAGAACACTTCGAACCAACTGCAGAAACTCACCGAACAAAACCTCGCCAGCGGAGAAGAGTTTCCGGATTAATAATGACACTGATACTACGGAGCGGTTTGTGTGAGCTGCTTCTTCATTCCGCTCGCTCGCGCGCGCGCGCGCACACACACACACACACACGCGAAGAAGAAAAATACGTAAAAAGACGCGTTTTCTGGAGGAGGAGGAGAGCTCACCTCTTAAATTGTTTGAATGTGAATCATATTTGTTCTACTTGGCGAGTCGTCCCTGTGCAGCTGTTGAGCTCTGATGCGCGCTCACTCTCTCTGGAGGGGGGTGGGGGGGATGGAGCGCGTGCACGGCAACCCCGAAAGAAACCCTTAGGGAAAGTCACGTGGTCGCGAATAACAGATACAAAGGGCCGAGTTCACATATGTCGATACTACGGCAATAAAAAAAAAAAAAAAAAAAAAATTATATATATATATATATATATATATAATATAAACAAATAAATGAATACAAGGTTGTTTTTTCACGAGCTCTACTTACCAGGATGGTGAACCGGTTTAACAGTCATTTAATCACTGTCGTGTGCTAACACTCGGGTTGCACTTCCATAACACCACTCGATCTAATATTGTGTTTTTCTCCCTGTGCTTAGTTCACGCACCGCGGGCTCCGCTGTTCAATAACGCGTATAAAATGCTACTTTAATGGGTGTAAACTGTCACGGAGCGCGTTCCTGAGCCTGATTAGAGATCAGAACAAGCGCTGTTTCTCGTGTTGTCCTCCCGATGCAGCCCTCCACCTCCCTGAAGAAGTGGCCCTTCCTCTTCTTCTTCTTCTTCCTCTTCTTCTTCTTCCACGCTCACACGTCATGCATCGGCTACCATGTGGAGATGGGGGAGGGGTGCTTCCAACTTTTCACAGTTACATGAGGGCTTTTTTAGTGTGTGTGTGGGGGGGGGGGGGGGGGGGTGTTGCTGCAGAAGCAGGTTGGTTGACTTGTGACAAAATTTAACTTCCTCCACTTTATGAAGCATGGAAATGTAACACAGAGCAGCTGTGGGATTTGCTTTAAGCTGTCGCCTAAACTTAAATGTGATGGAGCCACATGCTCGGTGCAAATGTGAAATGTTTGATCTCAGAAGAAAGACAATGCTTTCTCCGTTCTCCATTTAAGATATAAAGACATTTTTTTCCAAAACTCACAATACTCTATTTAACTAATTCAAGTGATGATTCAAAAAGATGACAGGCATAACGGAGATAAACTATGTGGTTCTTTAAAAAAAAAAAAGAAGAAGAATACACTTGATTCAACGAGGTAAAGAACACCACCTACAGTAGCACCCGCTGACTCGTGTGAAGCTGATTACCAGGCCCCTCCTCCACCCTGAAACCCTTCCAAAGAGACACCAGGCATGGATGGTCATTTAAATCCATACATTGTGCTAATCAATGAGGATATTCAGTGGACTACAGGGTACATTCTTTATTGGGACACAAACACCCCGCTATCCGCGAGGACGCAGCGTCTGAAAGAAAGCAAAAGCAACAGTGAACAAAGACAAAAAACCTCACTCGGATTAGGCGAGGTTGTTGCCTTATCCTCCCTCTTGTGAAGACTATTATAGTGTTTGCCTGTGTATTAATAAATCAGATGAACCCGTTGGTCTCTTTATGAAGCGATCAAAAGTTGATCTGCGGGTTGGACAAGTTTACTACGGCGAATGCAGTGAATGTGATTATTGTGCAAGTGCCAGCAACCATTAAAGAGACATTGTGCCCATCAAATGTTAGCTGATGTCAGACACAGAGTTCCATTGTTTATTTAATCTGATCCAATATGGATTTAAATGAACCACGTGTTCTCTGGGTTCCTGCTGTAAAAAACAATTACATCCCACATGTGATGCCCTAAATTATTACATATCTTTTCACCCGGCCTGATTCCTTTCCCTAATGTCCTTGCCTCGCCCTGAGATCCTGTTACACAAACATGTCTAGTATGTTAATCAAAGGCACCACATGTGTCACATGGAGGCCTCCCGTTCATTTCCTATTGTTCTGTGGCCACAAAGGCTCTGGGAGAGGCTATCAATCAGTTTGATGCCTCTGGATGATGAAATTGCCAGGAGATGTTATAACCTATAATAAAAAAAGCATTATGTGGAGGTGGTGGCAGTTTGGGTTTAACCAGATATTCGTCCACTGGATGAACATTTGTATCACAACTTATACATTTATGAATTAGCCTTAATTTCCCCCCTCGGGCCGTGATAACAGCAACAAGTACACAAACACTATTTGCTCTCAACTGATTTAATTAACTTTGTGATATTGTTTGAATTTATGCTGATTTATTTCCACAACCACAGTTTTTTGGTTACAGATCATTGCACAGAAAAAACAAAACATGAATGCCTTCAAACCGAAAGCAGCGCATTTAAAGATAGAGAGAAGAAGAAGAAAAAACGGAATGCCTGAACGAATACTTTTGTGACCGACAGCCTGATAGGAACTAGATCACAAAATGGGGAAAAGCTGCAGCGGCTTCTTCTTGTCTCGGTGTGTCAGGAGCAGCTGACCGCATTGTTGTCTTCCAGATTCACAGCCTGCCTTCTTGCATAATCCCGGTGTGGCTCCTGAGAGACACTGATAATATATAATCTCCTTTCTCACCCCTGTGTTTATTCAGTGAAACCAGCTGTTGTATTTTTGATCATGGAGGGAAATTGCATCAGTCACTTTTCTGAGGTCTGCACGTGATATTTTTGCCTCTGCATAGCCGCGTGTTGAAGAAAGACATTTATTTTTCTATTTACGTGGTTACTCGTATAAAGCAGAAAAGACAAAAGCGTGTATTGCAATGGACAGAAAATAGAATAAAGAAGAAACGGTTACTTTAATAAACAGATGAGCAAAATGCATTTACCCTGGTGAATATTCAATACTTACTTATAATATATTTAATTTTCTCTCAGTTGCTTCTTGAATTAGAATATACGTGTTTCTCTTATCTTTAAAAGCTGGACAAGCTGGCGTACTGGTATAATGATTCCTCTGACCTCAATCTCCTCTCCAACAGTAACAACAAAGACTGAGATATGTCCCTTAAAATGTCATCTCTTCTCTGGAGACACAGTTAAAATAATATATTTGTCTGTAGATACGTCACAGATACTCCATCATGCCCATCCTAAAGGTACTTATCAGTCTTCATCCTAAAATCATTCGTGTTCTGCAGTGAAATCTGCACCATAATCCACATTCATAGAGAATTATCTTCCATAAGAAAAAACGTTTTTTTTCTTCAATATCTACCACCCTTCTGGTGTTATTGAACCAGCACAGTAAGTCTTAAAATTCTTGTTTATATCTTCCCAGTCCAACCGGCTGTGTTTCTGTTCACTGCAACACACTTTTAATGAACCACGTACAAAAAAAGAGAGTGGAATCAGTAGAGTGAATAATCATGTCACTGATTTGATTAC